GTACAGTACCTGTTTGTAACCTGAAGTTGCTTTGGTGGCTGTATCTTCATCAAAACTTGTGGGGCGTCCTTGCAGTCAGGGCCCCAAAGCTTTGAAAAAGCTTGCTGGAGTATCTCAGGTTAACTAGCTCCATTTCTACTGTTAAATTTCCCTTGAACATATACTATACATATAGCTAGTATATTCTTATACTTATATCCTATATATATTAACCTTGTACATTTGTAAAGAAAGGTGATACATGAAGATTATTCTCATTATTAATATATTAGTGATGTATATGATATTCATCCTCAATTAGCTGTTTTCATTATCTGTATTTGCTCCTTTATTTTGTACTTTGTATTTGATGCTTTATCTGTCACTGAAGGAAAGGGCATCTAAAAAAAAGTGCCACAGGTCATGACATACTTCCTAGTACTTTATTTGTGGAAGATGATCTGTGATAGATAGAGTCCACTGAAGAAGCACAACAGCGGCTCCTGACTGCTGGCTGAAGCTGGACATTGACAGCTTTCTAGTCATTGGAGACCTCTAGCCTCATGGCAGTGAAGAAATCATCAGATAGGGAGAGCTGAGATGATGTCTGTGTGCTGGAGGCGGATTGCGTAATTTCACCCTGAAGGGACAAACAATCTGTGAAGACATCAGTCATGAAGTTAACTTATTTCTTTTTTTAAGTACCAACTGAAACTCCAAACTGGTAACCATCTCAGAGGAGGAGGGCAGTAAGATAAACACTGACACCCACTGGCTGCTCAGTATTAATTCAATATTTCTGCTTCAATCAAATCTATGTTGAGATTTACTTGAGTACCTACATTGTATGCTACTGTTCTACTTTATGTTTATATAAAGAACAGTATATAAAGATCAATTACAATATAACACTGACAGGAGCCATTCTGATGCATAATAAGTTATTTCACTTTCGGTACTTTAAGTGCATTTTACTGATGATACAATTCTGAACTAAACCAATGTTGAATGCAGAACATTTATTTGTAATAGAGTCTCTTATGTTATTGATTTATTACATTAATAGATCAATCTGAGGAAGTAATCAGTCCTGTGCCGTGTCAATATTTTGTAAAATAAATGGGAAAAACTAAATATTGTTGTAAGATTTTCTCTCCCTCACTGTCTAATATATGTGTGCATGTTGATTATCAAATTACCTAACACACAGTTGGCAAATAAAGTTGTCTTTTTTTTCAGAATCTTGAAAAATCTGATTATTATTATATTATTATATTATTATAACTTTAGTGTCAGACTGATTTGATAGAATACGTGGATTGTTTATCTCATTGCATGCCTGTTTTGTTCACTTCATCTATTTAAGGATTTGTAAGAATTAAGGTAGTTTGGATTCAAATAAGAATAAATCTGCTTTAGGACAAACAGTTTGACCTCTACAGTGAATTTACCACAATGTTATAATAGGGATTGATCAAAACAGGACAGTAAGTGTGACGTAGCCTACTGCTCCTGATGAAAGTGATGAATGGTGCTGTGACCCCCCCCCCCAAAAAAACCCCCCCAAAAAACAGCATTTATTTACTTCTTTGCTGCGTTCCTGACATTCCCATTATTAATAGAACCCTCCACAGTAAGCAAGAACGTGCTAACACCTTTAAGAAGCTCTTTTGCATTGTGGGCTGTTGCCCACTCACTCCAGAATGGAGCCAGGAAAACAAATTACATGTTTTACAAGTAGTTTAGCACACTGTTTTGTTTGCAGAGTCCCACTCCTTTCGAAATAAGTTTAGCATCTATTTAGGAGACAACCTTATGCTGACACATAGATACAACAGGCTGCCTCAAATTAGCATGAAATTGCAGTTTAGGGAAGTTTTGCCCACAGCTAAATGGAGAAAAAAAAATCTCAAATTGCATCTATAAAAGTAATACATTTCTTCTTGTGTTCTGATAACTTAAAGCATAACTTAAAGTCATCTTTTTTTTTGTTTTCAAGACGGATATATATATATATAAGGGGGGGAAAGTTTTTTGGAGAGATAGATCTTTAAAGAAGTTCTTCAGAGAATGATGGGTTTAAAAAGCAGACTCCTTGGAGAAAAGGAGCCGAGAGAGAAAAGAAGGTACTCTCTTTGGGAGATGGACCAATCTGAAAACGATTTCTGCTGAAAGAGACAGAGAAGTAGAAGGAGAGAGCCTTGGAATTGAGAGGAGTTAAAGTATGTCGTAACGCCGGTGACTGTATGTGGCCAATTGCAGGCGGTTAGCTCCCGCTGACCGGCTCCGCTTAGACTGACACC